TTCACAAAGTAGTGCCAACAAAAAACACAACAGTGGCAAGCATCGTACTCAACAGTAGCACCAGACATCTCAACCAGCCTGCCTATAAACAGATTAAATATACAACAATATTAAGTCCAGCAAATAAACAACACAAGTTATGTTTCTCTGGACGCACACTGAACCATGAGCGGCAGAACAACGGATACAATGTTGCAAACACAACCTGCTACCTGTGATACACGAGTCTCACCGTCTTCAGTCTCTACTTATCTTTATTACGAGCAATGGCACTCGGCCCGATTGAGCGCGATTGCGCCCCCAGTGGCTGGATCCGGCCAAGTCCCCAGATAAGGTATGCAGACTTCAGAACATCTATTTTATATTCTAAAGTGTTACTAAAATAAATCAACATGTTAGAAATACCAAGCACTTCATATAAATATAATGCAATGGTAGAAAAAATAAATCTTGCAACCTTTCAGCAGAAAGGCTGACAGGTTTTTCAGAGGTTGTGTTTTTTTTTTATGTCTTTTGCCTTTATAAATATGACAACGCAGTTGTTGCCATTAAACATGTCACTTTCTGATGAAAAGCATTTTCAACATCCCACAAAACCTCACATGGCATCTTATTACAAGAAAATTAACACTTTGGTGTACTGTTGTTGAGAATGTTAATAAGAAGTACGATAATATCACTGTTTTGACTCATGAGTTCAACACAATGTTTTTCATAGATCTTTTCATTTTCCATTTAAGTCTCACTCATAAAAGGTTTGGGTTAGGTTTGTTGTGTTTAGACAACGCAAAACATAAAATGAGGAAGAAAATACGGGATTAGAGTTCAAATTTGCACAAACTTTGAGCATAAAATGCATAGATTTCTACATTTTGATTGTTACAGTTGATATAATTGGACATTTGAATAAACAAAGATGTTAGATTTTGATAGTAATTAGAAATATTTTTCCTTTATATATTTTTTTTAAAAACATTTGTGAACTTGAAAAAAAGGCTAAATTATTTCACAATGTTCTTTAGCTCCCCTTATAGTTGTGGGGCGTAACTGCACTACTTGTACAACACATACTATGTGAATTCTCCAACTGTACTTCAAAACCCCAAAAATGGTATCAGTAACCAAATATCTTTAAGCGACCATAAAGGGATATGGCATGGTACAAAGATCTAAGCCAGAATCTGGGTGGCCAGAATTGTACAAAATATCTGTAGTTCAAAACAAATTAGAGGCTCATATCATTTGGGACATACAAACCTATCTAGTTTTGCTTTACTATATACTAATTTTATGCCATTTGGCTGACTGTTTTCCGATGTTGGGCATCTATGCTAAGCTAGGCTCACCAGCAGCTGGCTGCATCTGTGTATTTGATGGACGTTTAGGCTAATACTTTTAATCTTCTCATCTAACACTTACTAATGAAGCATCTGGACATGTGAAGGGATGATGCATCCTCTCCAAAAATATAGAGCAGCAGCTAATTCAAAGCTGTTATTCATAAGAATAATCTATTCTCAATATGATGGTAATGTAACATGAGGGCTACTTGTTAGCACTTTTCTATCTGTCTGATAGTGGTTTATGTTCCCAGTACTCATGTCTGGGAAGCTTTCCTTTTATTTCTGAAGCAGCAGTGGAACAGACATTGCTCTCGCCCCCATACTCATCACCACTTCACGGGCTATTCAATTAGCAGAAGAAGCATGGGAGATTCAGCCATAATGGAGCTGATGAGATGCACAAGGACAGGTGACACTAATCAGAGCGGCGCCCTATTGTCTCCATGTGAGCATCATTAAGGAACAACACTGATTTCAGGCTTTTTTTCCCTTCCTGAGGCAGAACACACCAAAGCAAGATACGTGCATTCTCTTTTTTGTCATTCATTTGCACTAATGCTTTTATGGAAAAAAGTTACATTGCAAGGTTTCAAACTGTGGAAAACAACACTTATTTGCACCTTTTATATACAGTAAGATCTCACCAAAGATTCAATAATATATTGTTGTGACACTCTTACTTACTGAATTTTTTTTACAGAATCTCATCCTGAATTCTAAAAACACCCTGTGATTGCCAAAAACAATTTACAAAATGTATGTCTTCAACACATCCACTTTTGCCTCTATTTGATTGAGGGAGGCAACTGAGAAAAGTGTGACCTACTGTATTTAAAGTTGCTTTGTCATGATCCCATTATTCTGGATTTTTTCTGGGTTGCACTATGAGGGCACTCTGCTCAGCCAGCTGCTGGCAACTGCGGACGTAACTTGACATACACATGTGAAAGCATTAACCACCAACAGTATTACACAAGTTTTATCTAGCCTCTTTCTGTCACCAAAATCGTTTTAGTTACATTCATATTGATGTAGAAAAACAAAAAAAATAACTTAAAAAAAAAAAATAATAATCATACTTCCAGTGTTAGTATGAAGTACCTTCTCTCCCTTTAAGTGAGACAAGTTGAATGTGTTGCACAGACCCTTTAATTAAGTTTAATCATAATGGGATACAAACAAAGCCTGAGACCCACAACAGAGCCAACTTTAGTGATGATCCTGTCCTGTCTGCTAGTGTCACTGGCTCTGATGCTGCTGTCTTAAAATACTGTATAACAGTAAAGAAGATGAAGCTTGCAAAACCGACTGGTAGAAGATCTCCAACATCTTTCTGCACACATTGAAGGACATCTTCAGCTCATTATCTTAGTGAACAGTGTGATAATACGGGTTTGAAATGCAATCTCAAAGTGTACTTTCCATATGTTATTTTACTGTAACAGTCTTATCTGTTTTGATTTCTATATGTAAATTTTCAATGTGTTTCAATGTATAGGGAGATAGTAAGGAAGATTAAAGGTTTGCATCATAATATCACCAAATTTGCCCTTAACTTTAAGTGTTCGCAAGAGTCATGACCATCACCAGCTATTTGCGGGGCAACTACGTCGCTGTAATAAAGGTGATAGAAACCACCCTTCAAATCCATAAGGTGTGGGGGATGCCTCCTGTCAAACGATGAAAATGTTGATGATACTGGTCTCCTGCCTGGTATATTAGACTATTTACGAGCGTGTTGAAATTAAGATAAATATTTGAATCTATTTGAATGGGAGTTCGCCCAACCAGTCCACATGTGTTTTGTGGACTTGGAGAAGGCGTTCGACCGTGTCCCCCGGGGTATGCTGTGGGGGGTGCTCCGGGAGTATGGGGTACCTGGCCCTTTGCTACGGGCTGTTCGGTCCCTGTACGACCGGAGTCAGAGTTTGGTTCGCATTGCCGGTAGTAAGTCGGATCCGTTTCCGGTGGGAGTTGGACTCCGCCAAGGTTGCCCTATGTCTCCAGTCCTGTTCATAACTTTTATGGACAGGATTTCTAGGTGCAGCCGAGGTGTTGAGGGTATCAGTCTTGGTGGCCTTAGGATCGCATATCTGCTTTTTGCAGATGATGTGGTCCTGTTGGCTCCATCAAGTCGGGACCTACAGCTCTCACTGGAGCGGTTCGCAGCCGAGTGCGAAGTGGCTGGGATGAAGATCAGTGCCTCCAAGTCCGAGACCATGGTCTCTCACCGGAAAAGGGTAGAGTGCCTTCTCCGGGTCGGAGCGGACTTCCTTCCCCAAGTGGAGGAGTTCAAGTATCTCGGGGTCTTGTTCGCGAACGGGGGTAGGGAGCGTGAGATTGATAGGCGGATCGGTGCGGCGTCTGCAGTAATGCGGGCGCTGTACCGGTCTGTCGTGATGAAGAGAGAGCTGAGCCTAAAAGGGATGCTCTCAATTTATCTGTCGATCTACGTTCCCACCCTCGTCTATGGTCACGAAATTTGGGTAGTGACTGAAAGAACGAGATCGCGGATACAAGCGGCCGAAATGAGTTTCCTCCGCAGGGTGGCTGGGCTCTCCCTTAGAGATAGGGTGAGAAGCTCGGCCATCCGGGAGGGGCTCGGAGTAGAGCCGCTGCTCCTCCACGTGGAGAGGAGCCAGTTGAGGTGGCTCGGGCATCTGTTTAAGATGCCTCCTGGTCGCCTCCCTGGGGAGGTGTTCCGGGCTCGTCCCACCGGGAGACCCAGGACCCGCTGGAGGGACTATGTGTCCCGGCTGGCCTGGGAACGCCTCGGGATCCCCCCGGAGGAGCTGGCTGAAGTGGCCTGGGAGAGGCTGCTCCGGCTGCTGCCCCCGCCACCCGACCCCGGATAAGCGGTGGACAATGGATGGATGGATGGATGGATATTTGAATCTATCTTTGAATCTATATTTGAATCTATACTCAATGCACCTTCGAGATTCTGACAAGATTACCTAGGAATCCTTGCACTGTTGTTGGAGGTAGAACCATACAAGTTCTTAAACTCATGGTACTCATTGCCACTGAGAGTAAGCAGATGAAAAACATTTTCATATAGCAGATTAATAAAAAGATAGAAAAATCTAAGTTAACTAAATACACTCATTTCATAATAACAGAAGCTAACTCCACGCACACTCATTTAATCATGAAAAGAAAATAATAATAATATTGTAGCATTTCAGGCTAGTTATGCTTTGGTATTAACAAATACCTCTGTCATGGTTTCAAGCTGTTTTAATTTTGCTACATCTTTGTCAACCAACTGTGCATACATGTCTTCAACAGGAGTGTAGATTTGTTTGGGCTAATGTTAATTCAGACAAGTAAGCTTCTTCTACAGTTTTTACACTGCTGTTTTCCTGACAAATGTTGCAAAAGGCTAAAAACAGCTTAATGTAAGCAATGAACCATGGATTATAAAGTTTCTGCATAAAATCTAAGTCGTTTGAGCACTCCCTTGCACTGATGTTGTTGTAAACAGGGATGGCTTACTGATCAGCTGTAGTAGTTTGGTTCTTGGTACATTTTGACTGCAGTATTAAGCAGATGGATCACTGCAGTTTTTACAGCTTGGATAAAACCGATATGTACCCAGCCATCAGCTATTGTATCCATCCACTCTCATGTCACCGTCCTCCCGAGGAAGCTGGTATTCCTCATCCATCTCAAATAATTCAGATCACTGAAGCACCATGGCCATGGAAGAGATGGATGATGAAGAGCCTATCCGGTAGAACGTTGTGGAGTTGTTCGCGGACTGTGTCCCCAGCATTGAAAAGACAGTCTCAGTTACGCTGTTGGGAGAAGCAGGAAGATGATATGGGTCAAGGATTAATCTGTCGCTGTCAGGATCGCCCTGCTGTGGTGATGTTGATTAGGGTGAAGGAGATGGTGTTGGAGAGGGTGGGAACTTCTGATGATGATTCTTCCTGCAGAAACTCAGCTGGAGGAATCTGAGTTCTGTACAAACATTGTTGCCGGGAGCTTGTGTTATCAAGGGCTGGTCTTGATAGAGCGTTACAGGAGTCTCACAAATGAGAGATTAAGGGTTAGATGGTACATCGATCTTTTCTGGAGATTTCTTGCTTTCAATTTCCCCTCCCTGTATGAGCCTGCGTCTTGTCCTGACCACGTTGAACCGTGTTTACACACTGACAATCTCCAAGCACAAGATAATTGAAAGGGTTTATATCACTGAAGAAAATAAACCCATCCCAACCATAAACTGCCCTAGCTGGAAGCAAGTATGAAACAAACTAATTTGTTTCAAACAACCACAGGAGAGTTAGAGAACCTGTCATGCTATTTTTTATTTTCGCTTGTTTTGCAACCAACATCTAGGATACTTCAAAAACAGTTTAAACAAACATTACAATTTTTACACCAGGGTGTACCTAGCCTCTTGTTTACTCCACCAAACCTTACTTGGAATTAGGGAAAATAGAAAAGGCATCGGTGGACAGCCCTCTTTCATTTTTAAATAGTAAAAGATTTAGAACATCAGTGACGCAGAAGTGAGCGTAGACTCTCTTTTTTTTATGGTTTCATTTTTTAAGATATAACAGTATGAAAACTATCTGATTGTGAACAGTTTTAAAATAGTAATTGAAAAGTGCACCCTTACTATTTCCATAGAAAACAAAAGTGGTGGCTGGTCAGTATTATCAAGTATGGTACAATGCCAAGGAGAAAATATATCAGCAACGTTAAAGACGAATGCTGTTACAATTTGAGTAACAATTTCCAAACTAACTGGAGTTCTTAATTCTTCTGTGAGTAAGATATACTCATCCATCTGTCACAATGATCTGCTATCATAAAATGTTAAAATGATGTTAAGATGACGCCATGGTCACGTGATACACCACATGTCATTACGATTCATTACAAATTCTAAGTCCCTTACTCATCACTGCATTCTTTATGATCTAGTTGGTTGGACATCACTAACAATTCGTAGAAAACAGCACTGGTATATCTTTATCTATAAAGCAATACTTGGTAAACTCCCACTGTACCTTGGTAACCTCCTCTCTGTGAGTTCCGGTAGCTATCGGTTGCGCTCCTCTCAGTGGTTACTTTTTAATGTACCCCGGGCTTCAACTGAGTTGGGAAAAACTGCCTTCTCCTGCTCTGCACCTTGGGGTTGGAATAACCTCCAGAAAGAGCTCAAATTTAAAACTCTAGTGTCCATTAATGAATTCAAAGCAACCATGAAGAGTGCAGTGATGGAGATATGTGCTTGTCTTTCTTTAGATGCTCAATGTGTTTTAACATATGGCTCTGATTTTATTATGTAAAATGTCTTATGTATGATTTTTTTTGTGGTTTGGCTGCTACCTTGGCCAGGTCTCTCTTGAAAAAGAGATTCCGATTCTCAATGAGACTTCCTGGTTAAATAAAGGTTAAATTAAAAAAGAAAATGTACCACCCGCCGATGATGGTTGCTTGATTCAGGGCTCTGCCTGTTCTTCCCCCAAACCCTCTTTAAAATGAAGATAATGCCAGTATATTCATCATATTTTGGTACAGGTCAGATAATTGTGGGATGAGTCAGAAAAGTCTGTATTTCATGCGTAACCAGTGGTTTACATCGCGGGGGAAAGCTGCTCACGACTCTCAGGGCACCTCGCTTTCCAAAATGGCTGAATAACCTGTTGAAGGTAAGACCCCAAGTCTAGTTAAATATAATGTGGCTACACAACTGACCGCTATAAGATCTATACTTGAGCAGCTAGCTAATGACATGCACGCTGTGATAGGGGGCATTGAGTCTCTCAATGAAACAGTGGCCAATCTTGGAGCCAGGGTCGATGAAGCCAAGCCAAGAATCTCCCGTTTGGAAGATGAGAATACGCAAGCTAGCACAGTTAGGAAGGACTTGGTGAAGCAGAACGAACAGCTGCGAGAAAAACTGACTGTGCTGGAGTGTTTTTTCCAGTCGCCAGAAAATTTGACTCTCAGGAATCAAGGGCCACGATTTAGAGGGGCTCTTGAAAATTTTTTTACATTAGGCGTTGGATATTGAGATGGATGCTTGGTATGAAATGGACCGAACACATTGCATAGGCACTGTGCCAACATCAGATAATACAAGATATAGGCACATCAGAATATATTTTCTACAGAATAAAGCCAAGTTTTGGCCGTGGCGAGGAAAAAGAAACATATAATCTAGAACGGAATGAGGATTAGTTTTTTCCAGGACTACGTGCAGGTTGTTCAAGAAAAACTTAGGACATTTAACGAGAGTGACACTTGCTACAACAACGGAATATTAACTACTCCGCTATCCATCATGACCTTCTTAGTGCATGGGCAGAGACATCAGTTTTTGACTCCGGCAGAGGTTTTTTAAACAGGTTGGAGCCTGATCACCCAGCAGATGTAGACGAGGGACAGGTGAGTAACAACATAGATGGGAGCGAATAACCTACTGTACTCCGCTTCATTAACTTTTCTAGTGATGATGTAGCCTAAGGATAGGACAGATGGACAATTTTGGGTAAGCCACTTTTCCTAGACATTTACGTTACAGACGTTTCTCTGCCTCTTTATGCTATATAGAAATCATTGACCATGTAGGTTGGCTTGTGTGCCTCCTTTTCTCTTCTTTTTTTTGGTCTTTTTATTTCATTGCTGTATTTGCTGACCAGAATATAACAATTGCCAGGTATTAGAAGGGGATTAGACCTTTTTCCCTTAGTTAGATTTTGTTGGAAGGGATGGTGTTGTGAGACCTGTGCCATGTTGTGCTAACTGAAGTGATTGTCTGGGGTTGGGGGGGGGGGGACACCGAGCAAGGAGGGAGGGCATATGGTATCGTCGAGTGCTGCGGACCTTCAGAATTCTTTTTCTAGTGGGTGCTGTTCTGCCCTACATTGTGTGTTTCTTATATTTCTTTTTTCTATATTTTTGTTTTTGTGCCTAATGTTTTACACTAAGGAATATAATACAATGAGCTCTGGGATTAATCAGATAATGTGGCATAAGGTGATAGACAAAATAAAATGAAAAAAAAAAAACAGACATTGCATTTATTCAGGAGATCCACTTTGGATGAGGAGGAATTTTTCAAACTCAAAAGGGACTGGGTAGGCCAAGTATATTATAATAGAAATTCCAGTTGGAAGAGGGGTATGGTTATTTTGATTAAGAAGAATTTGGATATCCAGGTCTTAAAACAGCATACTGATCAAGAATGTTGATGGGTGATGTTGGATACATATTTGGAGGGTCAGAAAATGACTATGGTAAATATCTATGCTCCCAACTCTCCTTAACCAGTTTTCTTTCATGAACTTTGCAATACAATACGCAATGTCGGAAATATAAACATTATAATTGGGGGGGATTTCAATCAGATCAGGGACATGTTATCGGACAAATCTTCCCAACCCAGACAGCTTAATGACCCTGTATGTGCTGCGATAGATGTTATGTCAGCAGAATTGAGTTTAGTTGACATTTGGAGATTGCTTCATTCACAAGAGAAAGATTATACTTTCTTTTCACACCCGCATTCTACATATTCTAGAATAGATAATTTCCTTGTTTCATGTTCCTTGATGGGTTAAACTGTTGGGTCTTATAGCGGTAACTGATCATGCCCCCATTGACCTGGTCCTATATTGTGGGGATAATGTTAAACCCTCATGTAGAGGGCGTCTAAACAACTCCTTACTGCAGAATAAAGGTTATTGTGAATATATTAGAATAAGGATGAATGAATTATGGGGGTGCATGAGGGATCTTTTGAGGATGTAGGAATGACCTGGAATGTTTTTAAGCCTTACCTAAGGGGTATTCTTATTCAATATGGTTCCTCTATTAAAAAAGCTCAGCAAGATATATTATTGAAATTACAACAGGACATTAAGGACAGGAAACTTGAAAAGCAACACATTCAAGGAAGAAGTGTGGAATAAATTAATTAAGCAGAAGTTTGATCTTCTGTTTGAATCAGAAATATTTTAAACAAGGTGAGAGAACAGGCTAAATGCTGGCACAAAACAAAACACATACAGTGGATTTCACTCCTTGACAAAAACAACGGAAATTTTGTTGGATCCCAATAACTGGACAGGAATGCTCCATGTCATCTACGCAGAGCTGGAAATTGGTTGAGGAACAGGAGCTGGCTTATGTGATGAGCAAAAAAGTGTACTTCTAAGAGTGATTACATTACCAGAAGTTGAGCAGGCAATAGGCAGTCTTGGAATAGGCAGTCTCCAGGCAATGATGGGTTCCCATCTGATTTTTTTAAAGACTTTTGCGGACATACTGGCTCCTAGACTATTAGCAGTATATCAGGATGCTCTATTTAAGGGGAGATTGCCCCTTAGCATGAGATCAGCAGTGATTACACTAATCCATAAAAGGGAAAAACCCACAGTATTGTGGAAATTACTGTCCAATTTCATTAATACATGTAGATGAAAAAATAATTTCCAAGATTCTTGCTTCTTGACTTGAGAAGGTACCTCCCTCCTTGGTGCATGGAGATCAAGTTGGATTTGTTAAAAATAGATGTTCAGCTGACAATCTGCGCAGGATATTGCATATATTTTGGAAGAGCAGAACTAAATTAGACCCAATTGTTGCTTTTTCTTTAGATGCGGAGAAGATGTTTTATAAGGTGGAATACGCCTTCCTGTTTCAAACTTCGAAGAGATTTGGTTTTATGCAGTGGGTACTATTGGATACAGATCCAATGGCTACAGTTCTTACCAATGGTATAATGTCACCATCTTTCAATCTTAGGCAGGGTTCTCCTTTGTCACCTTTAATTTAGATGTTATTTCTAGAACCCCTTGCAATTGCATTGCTTGAATGTTAGAACATTAAAGGGATAAGGATATATCAAGAGGAGCACAAACTTTTTCTGTATGCCGATGATATACTTTTGATTTCCAGTAACCCAGGTGTGGCAGTACCAGTAATCACTTCAATTATTGATTCTTTTTCCAAAATTTCTGGTTACACAATTACTTGGTCTAAGTCTGAGGTCATGCCTCTATCTGAAATCTGTCTCCCAGCCATTAGAAACTCATGGCAATTTAAGTGGATGCCAGCGGGATTGACATATCTAGGGATTAAACTGACACCTGGACTAGATAACATAATGCATGCCAATATTTCTCCAGTGATTCAGAAGATCAGACCTATTTAACAGAACTGGGTTCAAATGAACCTCTCCGTATTGGGTAGAATTAATTTGGTAAAGATGATTGTCTCTCCTAAGATCCAGTATATTCTATATATGCTCCCCTTAATATTTCCACCCAGTTTGGTAAAGTTGTATAATGCAGCGGTGTAGGGGTATATAAAAAAGCCATGGTTTAGTAGGTCTAAATTATATGCATGTAAAGTTAAAGGTGGTTTGGTGTTGTCCAGGGTGTACTGGTGTCATTATGCATTTTCTGTCTCCCAGTTAACCAAGGTAAATTACTCTCCTGGGTGGAGGCCATCCTGGTTTAACATGGAGGAAGAACTAGTGGCCCCGTTCTCCTTGGAGGCCTTTTTCACACAGATGGGAAGAATGGTTCCCTCCAGGGACCCAGGCATGGCCTTTGTACAGGAAACCTGGTTTAGGGCACACCAAGTTATTAATACCAATCTAAACATCTAACGCCTCTATTTGGTGTAATAAGAACATTCTAACTGGTAAGAAACTATTTATGTGGGTTCTATGGTCCAGCTCTGGAATTAATCAGGTTGGGGATATATTTGGACAAAATGGCATAAAATCATTCAGTGAAATCCAACAAGAATTTAATTTAGATCAAAGGCAGTTTAGGAAGGTCCTACAAATTAGACATTGCATCAAAGATATCCTCAATGATAGCCCAGACCCACCCATACAGTATTCAGGATATACAGGGGTTGGACAATGAAACTGAAACACCTGGTTTTGGACCACAATACTCTATTAGTATGGTGTAGGTCCTCCTTTTGCGGCCAATACAGCATCAATTCGTCTTGGGAATGATATATACAAGTCCTGCAAAGTGGTCAAAGGGCTTTTAAGCCATTCTTATTGCAGGTTAGAGGCCAGGTCACGATGTGATGCTGGTGGAGGAAAATGTTTTCTGACTCGCTCCTCCAAAACACCCCAAAGTGGCTCAATAATATTGAGATCTGGTGACTCTGCAGGCCATGGGAGATGTTCAACATCACTTTCATGTTCATCAAACCAATCTTTCACCAGTCTTGCTGTGTGTATTGGTGCATTGTCATCCTGATACACGGCACCTCCTTCAGGATACAATGTTTAAACCATTCGATGCATATGGTCCTCCAGAATGGTTCGGTAGTCCTTTGCAGTGACGCGCCCATCTAGCACAAGTATGGGGCCAAGGGAATGCCATGATATGGCAGCCCAAACCATCACTGATCCACCCCCATGCTTCACTCTGGGCATGCAACAGTCTGGGTGGTACGCTTCTTTGGGGCTTCTCCACACCGTAATTCTCCCGGATGTGGGGAAAACAGTAAAGGCGGACTCATCAGAGAACAATACATATTTCACATTGTCCACATCCCAAGATTTGCGCTCCTTGCACCATTGAAACCGACGTTTGGCATTGGCACGAGTGACCAAAGGTTTGGCTATAGCAGCCCGGCCGTGTATTTTGACCCTGTGGAGCTCCCGACGGACAGTTTTGGTGGAAACGGGAGAGTTGATGTGCACATTTAATTCTGCCGTGATTTGGGCAGCCGTGGTTTTATGTTTTTTGGATACAATCCGGGTTAGCACCCGAACATCCCTTTCAGACAGCTTCCTCTTGCGTCCACCGTTATTCCTGTTGGATGTGGTTCGTCTTTCTTGGTGGTATGCTGACATTACCCTGGATACCGTGGCTCTTGATACATCACAAAGACTTGCTGTCTTGGTCACAGATGCGCCAGCAAGATTTGGTCCTCTTTTGAACTCTGGTATGTCACCCACAATGCTGTGTGCATTGCAATATTTGGAGCAAAACTGTGCTCTTACCATGCTAATTGGACCTTCACAGTCTGCTCTCATTGGTTCAATATGCAATTAATGAAGATTGGCCACCAGGTTGGTACAATTTAGCCATGAAACCTCCCACACTAAAATGAGAGGTGTTTCAGTTTCATTGTCCAACCCCTGTATCTCTTAGGCCTTGCAGTAGTAGTAGGGCATCAAAATTCTATAGGGTTATTTGAGAGAGTTACCCCAGTTGGATGGGTTGATAAAGGATTTAGATACTCATATTTTAGACGAAGATTGGGAGAAGTTGTGGCCTCTTGGTATATCTGTTCAATGGAAACACAGGCACAGATGATTTAATACAAAATACTTAATAGAAAATATTGGACCCCCAGTAAATTTGTCAAACTGAAATTAACGGATAATGACTCCTGTTGGAAATGCCAGAAAAAAGAGGGGACCTTAGTTCATATGCTTAATGGCTGTGACAAAAATGATCAGCTTGGGGCTGAAATTATCACTCTCTTGAATGATCTATTTCAACTTCATTTGTCTAAATCTCCTGCCTTTTGTATTTTGGGGGTGTTACCAGAGAGCATTAGTCTGTGGAAGCCTACCTGGACCAAATGTTAAGGATGTGTACAGCTCTACTGCTCCACTTGGCAAGTCAGACCACAACCTATTCCTGCTCTGTCCATCATACAATCCTGTGGTTCAGCAGCCCCCTAGTCACAGTGAGGACAGTGAAAAAGTGGTCTCCTGAGGCCACGGATACACTGTGTGGCACCCTGGAGGCCATAGACTGGGAAGCTCTGTGTGAGCCACATGGTGACAACATTGATGGCCTGACAGACTGTGTCCTGAGTACATTGGGTTCTGCATTGACAACATCATCCCCACTAAAGAGGTCCGCTGCTGCCCAGACAATAAACCGTGGGTAACCAGCGATCTGAAGACCCTTCTCAACAAGAAGAAGAGGGCCTTCAAACACCGGGACAGTGCAAAACTCAAACAGGTATGTAGGGAGCTCAAACGCAGGATCAGGGGGGAGCAAGGAAAAAATCACAAGAAAACTGGAGCACAAAGTGGGATAAAGGATATCACTAGCTTCCAGGGTAGAAATGAAGGAGCAGTTGAGGGGAATGAACAAACTGAACCTGTTCTTTAATAGGTTCAGCTCCCATCCCTGGCCCCATGAGGCCCCTCTACTGCCTCTCCGAGCAGCAACCCCCCTGTCTTATCATCTACCAAAGCCCTGCCAACACCTGTCTGTACCACACATGTCACCTCCACTCTCTAACCCATTGTTCACATCCCCCTTTCTCCAGTCTGAACTCCACATCACAGCCAGCTGGATGATGAGAAAGCTGGAGAGGCTCAATCAGATGAAAGCTGCTGGACCGGACTGCATCAGCCCTCGCGTGTTGAAGGCTTGTTCCAGCCAGCTCCGTGGAATTCTCCAGGACCTCTACAACCTAACTACCTTCAGAGAGTGCCGGTGCTCTGAAAAACATCCTACTGGTCCCCAAAAAACGACGTCATGCTGCACTGGAGGACTATAGGCCAGTGGCACTGACCTCTCACATTATGATGGTCATGGAGATACTGGTTCTTGCAGACCACTGGTGTGCCCATCACAAGACCCCCTGTAGTTTGCTTATCAGCCCCATATTGGGGTCGATGATGCAATCATCTACCTGGTGCAGAAGGCTTACTCCTCTCTGGACAGGCCCAACACCTCAGTTCGGATCATGTTCTTCGACTTCTCCAGCGCCTTCAACACCATCAAACCCAGACTGCTGAAGGCGAAATCGGAGAACACTCAGGTGGGTGTTCCCCCATCACTTGGTCGATGACTATCTGATGGGCAGACCGCAGTTTTTGAAATTACAGAGCTAAGTGTCTGATTGTCTGATCAGTCACATCAGGGCCCCCAGGGAACTGTGCAGTCCCCCTTCCTCTTCACCAGATAAACTGCTTACTTTAAATACTAGAGTGAGTCGTGTCATCTGCAGAAATTATCTGATTACACGGCCATTGTGGGATGTGTGGAGGAAGGGAGGCTAAGTACAGGAACCTGGTCGACCGCTTTGGGAAGAGGTGTGGGAACCACCTGCGGCTGAACGTGGCGAAGACGAACGAGATGGTGGTAACAAGTCCCTGCCCTCTCCTGTCAGCATCAGTGGGACGGGTGTGGTCAGGGTTTCTCGATATAAGTACCTGGGTGTCACACTGAACAATAACTGGACTGGTCATACAAAAAATATTGTATATTATTATATATATTAATATATTATTATTGTCCATCTATATTATTATATTACCGTTTGGTTATAATAGCATTACCATCATCATAACACTGCACCATGTTGTCTGTTATTTTCTTTTTTAGTTTTTAAGTTTCGTTGTCCTATTCTGTGTTTTTATCTTATCATTGTATTCCCGGACTGATGTGACAACCTAATGTCCCCTCGGGGATGAATAAATCAATCTATCTATCTATCTATCTATCTATCTATCTATCTATCTATCTATCTATCTATCT